GTTGGGTTAGTCCATATTTGACCCAAAGTTGGGTTGAAACAACCCAGCATTTTTTAGAGTGTCAAATTAAAAAAAAAAAAAAAACTATTTTTCATTCTAATAATATTTCGCAATATTACAGTTTTTACTGTCTTTTTGATCAAATAAATGCAGCCTTGGTGAACAGAAGAGACTTTTTCAAAAACATTCAAAATCTTATCAACCCCAAACTTTTGAACTTTAAAGCAAAACCTCTAAAGGAAAACCTTAGGTGTGGTCAGTTATAAAAAAAATAAAATAAAGCATACTAATTTACAGGTACAGGATTTAGAAATTAAAACTCTAAACCAAGTAAGTACAATAGCAGTATTTTGGCTTTATCAAGCCATCACAGCAACATCCAGGAAGCCTGATTCTATTGTTTATATGTATTTGCAGGACAGCAGAGACTGTGATGTCCTAATGGGACACGGGTCCACAGATCAGTCACGTCAAACAGAGCAGCGGACACACAGACGCCTGCCTTTGTGTGTCTGACCGGCGGCTCACAGACGTGCCAAAAGAGAAGACAATCTAGAAAGTCAAAGTGAAGGAGTGATGAAAAAAAAAACAGAAATAAGGCAATCAAGGATCATTTCTGTTTTCCACTTTTTTTTAGCACTGCAGTATTTTTACTATTTCTTTTTTAAATAATTTTGTCTTATGATTTTTTATAATTTTAAATTTTTTTTATTTGAATGAAAAAAAAGTAAAAAAAAAAAAAAAAGAAAAAATTTTTTTTTAACAATTTTTAAATATATATTTTTTCTTTTTAAAATAATTTTGTCTTATGATTATTTTAATAATTTTGTATTTATTTTCTAAAAAAAAAAATCTAAACTTCCAAGATGAATCACAGCATTGCAACATTGGATTTAAATGAGAAAAGCTTTTTTTAAAACATTTTTTTTCCTCATAATTTTTTATAATTTTGTCTTCTAACTTTATAATTAAATTCATATAACGATTCATATAAAATCCAATGAATTTAATATTTATTGCAAAGTTTGAGACTGTAAAGAAACTATTACATAATTTGCAATGCATACGGCATGGAGAAAACAAACTGTTGCACTCTTCTGAATATCCAAGGCATGGCATGCATAAATAAAATGAATATGCTAATAATAGTTTCTGAGCATCTGGCGTTTGATCAATGAAAGCAGCTTTATGTTTTTCATACTGATAAGATTGAGATTACCTGCTGTCTGGTGTCACATGCCGTTCTCCGACAGTTGAGGGTCATTTCCTAAGCAAGGTGTGAACAATGATGAATGATGAGGAGAATTATAATGAGTGAAGAATCCCTGGAGACGCCGAGAATAAATGATGTCTGAAACAAGAAAAGATATTAGCAAAGCATTCGCTCTGTTTTCACGAACAATCTGATCAAATCGTCCCAGCTGTGACTCAAACCTCATTTAAAGGCACAATAGAGACAGTTATGAATTGAGAGAGATTGAGTGAGCTGTGCATTCCTCTTCCAAACTATTATCTCTAAGGTCATTTGTATTAGACCAGCCTACGTTTAAAATATTGGAGACAATACATCAATCACAGGAAGGCATACATGAAGGATTTGCCAATCCAGTAGATTCACCTGAAAAAACCTTTAGAGTATAAGGATGGAATATTCACAATGATTTCGCTGGTTATATAAAATTAAGCAACATTGTGAATAATTGCATTTTTATTTTTCCAGTTTATGTGTGTCATTACGCAAACATACACAAAAATAAGAGGTCTTAGGCGAAGTTCATTTCTGAGTTTAATGAATCAGTTCAAAACTGATGCAGTGATTCGCTTGTGTTCCAAACAAATCACTTAAACTGATCAAAATAAGATATAGAAATAAATCATTTACAATGTTTGTTTGGTTGAAATAAATACATATTTTTAAGTCAAATCAGACAAAACACATAAATATCAAGATACATACTAAGAATCTTCCGTTTTAAAGGGGTCATATGATGTTGCTAAAAAGAACATTATTTTGTGTATTTGGTGTAATGAAATGTGTTTATGTGGTTTAAAGTTCAAAAAGCACATTATTTTTCACGTACTGTACATTATTGTTTCTCCTCTATGCCCAGCCTTTCTGAAACATACAATATAAAATAATGGTTTCTATTTTAATATCCTTTAAAATATAATTTATTTCTGTGATGCAAAGCTGAATTTCCATCAGCCCTTACTCCAGTCTTCAGTTTCACATGATCCTTCAGGAATCATTCTAATATGCTGATTTATTATTAGAATTATCAACAGTTGTGCTGCTTAATATTTTTTTGGAACTGCTATTCTTTTTTCAGGATTCTTTGATGAATAAAAAGTTAAAAAGAACAGCATTCATTCAAAATATAAATCTTTTCTAACAATATAAATCTTTGCTATCACTTCTTAACAATTTAACACATCCTTGCTGAATAAAAGTTTTAATTTCTTTCAAAAAAAGAACGAATAAAAATTTACTGACCCCAAACTTTCGAACTGTTGTGTACTCTTAAAAATAAAGGTGCTTCAAAAGGTTCAAGCGGCTTTTTCAAGCGATGCCATAGAAGAACCATTTTTGGTTCCACAAAGAACCCCGGTAGTGTATATATTTTACTTTTTTTTATCTATATGGGCACAGCCCTAAAAAGTATTATAGAGATTAATATAAATAATGATTTTTATTCATTTGAAAAGCCCACACTGGCTACTCTTCATGGCTTTGTGCAATAATGCTTGTAAATAGATTACACAAGTAAATTCAGTATAGTTCACAAGTTCAAAATAATTCAACTATTCCCTCAAAGCTCAGTCGGTTAGTTTAAGCTCTGGAGACAATATTATCATGTTTTCTCATGCCAATTGTTAGGATGCTGAAACTTCAAATTATTATACTGCATATAAAAAGCCAAGGAGGTGTTTAAATAACCTTAGCTGCAATGAAACATGCCTAATATCTGTGTCCATTAGACCTTCACAGACCATTACTTTGAAACAAAGTTTATGAAGAGACTGTAAAAATGATGCAGATTAAAGTTTCTCTGCCTCTCAGAGGAGGGTTTACGGTCATATTAAAATTCCTGCAATTATTTCTCGGTCAGCTGTAAGGCCACTAGGGTAATCACTGCCGTTAAGGGCAGCATTTATTACAAAATAATTATCATAACGCAGCAATCTGCTAACAGTCCTTTATAGAAGGTGTGATATTTATCTTGCAGAAATGAAGGGGTTCACATAAAACAACAGACGCTGTAGTCTATTATTAACTGCACAGTCATCAGTATGCTAAGAGTTATTTTTAGTCATGTATATTGTTTTCCTTGGCTGTGAGGTCTTAAAGGAACAGTTCACCCAGAAATAAAAGTTATGGTCATTTACTTTCTTCAATGGATCACAAACGGAGAACTGAAGAATCTTCATGCAGCTCTTTTCCATTCAATCATAGTGACCACGTCTGTCAAGCTCCAAAAATGACAAAAACACCATAAAAATAGTCCAAACAACGTCTTATGAAGTCATTCAACAGATTTATGCGCGGAACAGAACAAAGTCTTTCTTCACTGAAAATATTTGCTGTCACTTTTTAATTCAAATATGGAACCTTTAAATGTATCACATCAAAGCAAAATATCTCTTGGTGCCATATTTGATTTGAAAGCAATGGTTAATCAGTGAATAATGACTTGGATTGTGGAGAAAAATAACAGTAAAATATGGTTATATAAATATGGCACAAAAAAGTTCAGCCAAGTAAAATAAGAACAAAATGGCTATTTGTAACATTTGTGGATTGCAAATATGCCTACTTATAATCAAAGACAGTCCATCATGTTAATTAGGGCTTTTGGACCCGAAAATAAAATGAAATGAAATAGTACAAACAACTTGTGCACTATTTTCTGAAATCACTCAACAGATTCACATGAGGAACAGAACAAATAATAAAATAAAAAAGTAAAATTAAATTAAAAATAATGAAATTAAAACATAATAAAATACAATTTAATAAAAAAAATAATACAATTAAAACATAATTAAATAAAAAATAATTAAATTAAAACATAATAATAAAAAATAATATAAAATAAAATAAAAATAGTCCAAACTTGTTCACTATATCCCAAGTTTTCTGAAATCATTCAACAGATTTATATGAGGAACAGAACAAAGTCTTTATTCACTGAAAATCTTTGCTGTCGCTTTTTAAATCAAATATGGAAACTTCATTGGTTTTCACGTTTCTTGACGCCATATTTGATTTGAGAGCAATGGTTAATCAATGAATAATGACTTGAATTATGAAGAAAAATAACAGTTTGGAACAAAACTCTTAAAGCGGTTTATATAAATATGACACAAAAAGTTCAGGCACTTTCAACCAAGTAAACTAAGAACAAAACCATAACTTTTGAGGAACCAAGACAATTTCAGGGCTTTTGGACCTGGCGATTAGGTTAAGGTAACGGAATAAACCTCTAACACACAATAACAAACATTTCTTCAGTCCTGAGATGTCCAGCATTTAGCTCCAAAGCATCCTCGACAGCTTTGTGAACATTTTCTCATTTGCTTCTGAGATGCTTTCCGAACAGTCTTCCGGAGGCGATCCGAGATAAGAAGCTAATAATCCCAGACAGAGCTCATTTTCTTGCATCAGAGCTTTCTTTCAGTGGATTTTCAGTACGTGCAGGTGCTTTTGTTCTGATTTTAACACTAAATCTCACTGGAACCGCTAATGACATTTCATCACGGCTTCATTCATCCCGTAACGACCTTCCGAAACACCACAAAGCGGCAGATTTTCTCCGGGAGAATTTTAAATTAAGGGAAGCATTGAACAAACAACTAATACTTCAAGTAAAGCATGAAGACAAAATTGAAAGCAACAAAGCTGGAAAATTAGGAAAAGCAAAAGGAAAATTTCTGGGGTATATTATAGAGCGGAGAAAACAAACAAAACAAAAAAAACATAATGAAAGCTGTCTAAACTATATTTCACTGTTTAGTTGGAAGTTAGTTAGGAAGAATAAATAGCCCCTTTTAGGATTATGGGCTCCTGGTGTTGGTTCTAATGGAATCTTCTTGACCTTTGACCTCATCTGCAGCAAGTGTGACTATATCAGACTATATCAGACATCTAGCGCTGAAGATGATCCAGTCACTGAGACAGACTCTTGAGCACAAGCCAGCGTGTGTCATTCGGCCCACTTCAGTCGATGTCATTCTCTGAGGGCCTTTTTTCATCTGGATTGGCCAGAATCTCTTTCCCAGAATGCCTGAGGCTCATTGTGCCGAGGCGTCTGTGATCGTGTCAATGCCATGATGGTCCAGCAGTGCTTGCAGAAGGGCATTCTCGCTCTCGAGCTCCTCTAACTGAAAGCAACAACACGGAAAATGATTATTAATTCTGAAAATGTAGAGGCAAATGTTTTAGATGTGCACATTTATGCATTTGCCAGATGCTTTTATCCAACACGACTTACATTGCATTGAAGCTATACATTTTTACAAATATAAAATAAAATAAAATAAAATAAAATAAACATTGTGCCATTTCTAATGCATACTCTACTGCTTGATCTACAGGAAGGAATAAAATAAAGTTAAATTAAATAATATAAATAAAATAATAAAATAAAATAGTATAAAACAAGATCAAATAAATTAGTGTGAAACAAAATAAAAGTAGCATAAAATAAAATAATAATTTAAAAATAAAAATAAATGAGTATAAAATAGTATAAAAACTAAAGTAAAAACTAAAAATAAAATAAAAACAATTAAATTAAATTAAATAGTATAAAATAAAAAAATATTATAAAAAATCAATTCAAATATTATTAATAAAATATTATAAATTACATTAAATTAAATTAAATCACTGGAGATATTACATCCTTGTGGGGGATTTTTTTGCACTCTTTGGTCACCCTCTTTTGGTGCTGTGGGTCAGGCTAATGTGTGAAGATCGTGGGTTTCTAGTAAAGGAGAGATTTGAGTCTGTGAATGAAATTGTGTGTGAAATAGTACTGAATGAATGAGTATGATTATTCAATGAGTGTGTCTATTTGGAGAGTGGGTTTTGTTCATATGATCTCAAATTCAATTATGTATTGAGCAAAAATAAAATAACTTTAACTTAAGATCAAGTTGAAAAGTTAGTAAAACGTTTAATTGTCCCATTCCATTGAAATGCATTAAATAAAATGTAATGCACATCAATAATGCTTATTTTAATGGCTCTTTGATGTCAAAACATGTATATGCATGTTTATTTAGGCCAGACATATATGTAACCAGGGGTTCCTGTTCCATCTCTCTATCCATCATGGGTCTGAAAATGGTTTGAAGACCCTTCATAAAATGTTGAAATATTATCTAAAACCTCTATATAGAAAGTAAAATGTTCAGATTAGATTTCAAGGAGAACAGATAGTATTTCGCTTGCTTTTTTGAAAAAAAAAAAAAAAATTATTAAGAAGGCGTAATCTAACATTATGATGTCAACTATGAGCTCATTAACATATGCCCGCCCACAGTTCAGCCCACTGATGAACAACAATATAACTTCACATGTGAAGAAGTTAACCAATCACAGAAGCTCATTTGTATGTAGTCTTAACGGCAGAGTAGCATAAACAGATTGTTGAATTCTAAGGATCATCAAATGGAAAAAAATAATTGTGGCTGTATTTGGTGAAAAAAAAATTAAGCGGACTTGAGGAATATAGTCCCTAGGAAAGAGATCTTTAAGAAAATGTTGATTCAGCATAAAATAATGAATGTCAGTGCAAAGAATAGGGGATTACATGACAAGGTTAGTGACAAATTGCAACTAAGCTTGCTAAATGTGATGTTAAACGGGTCATATGATGTTGCTAAAAAGAACATTATTTTGTGTATTTGGTGTAATGAAATGTGTTTATGCGGTTTAAGGTTAAAAAAACACATTATTTTCCACATACTGTACATTATTGTTTCTCCTCTATGCATACCTGCTGTCTGAGCAGCTCATTGTCCATCTGCACTCTCTCCACTCCTCTCAAACTCTCCTGCAGCCACTGGTTATGTTGCTTCAGCTCGCCAATGTAATCACACGCCTTTGACAGGATCCCACCTTTACTCTGGAGGAACAAGAAGCGCAATGCATTTAAGAGAGAGATGCAGTTTCAAAGCATCTATTGTAAAAGAACAGGTCAATTCTAAGGTCAGATCTTCATTTAGGTGACAAAAGCATCATGCAGCTCACCCCTCCAATCTTGGTGCCATCTATGCTGCAGTCTGGGATGATTTTTGAGAGCGCCACAATCCAGTTGTTGATTTTGTCTCGCCGTCGCCTTTCAACTGCACATCAACAACAAGAACGATCAGAGGCAAAATCTAGGCCATATTGTTTAAATTGCAATACATGTTCAGTCCATCAACGCTCTACTGGCCTCTACAGGAGGATTTACATCAATGCCTGCTGAGATTCGTTCTTCAGTATCAATATCTTTGGAGTGGACACAGAATTAGTTATACAGGTCCTGATGCTTTGCTTTCATTTACAAAGACTAGATTATGATAATTCACTGACCTTCATTATGTTGTGCTCTTCTCCTCTCGTCTCTAGGAGTGCGCAGCGGACTGTCCATTTTCCTACAGTAATATTGGGGGAAAAAAAGATATAATATGCAATATTTCATATATTTCTTCACTTCAATATCTCAGTGATCTGCAACCTTCAAAACTTAAAAATAAACTACTAAAAAAAAACATTAAATCACAAATAAATAACAAATGCTAAACAAAATAAAATGGAATAAAATATAAAAATCATTATTTGATATATGTCTTAGCTTCAATATCTCAGTGTAGGTATTTTACAAGGCTTGCAATCTTATCTTTACAAAACATAATATATTCAAATCCAAAAAAAACAACAACAAAAACTAAACCAAAAAAAGAAAGAACAAACAAACAAATGAACTAAAGAAAACTAAACAAAGATAAAATAAAATAATAAATAAAAAAAATATATTACAAAAAATACATAAAAACAAATAAAGAACAAATACTAAATAAAATAACATTTAGCTGCCTTTTAGTAAAGTTAATTTTATTAAAGATTACAAATCTATCTCTATAGCTATTATTTAAAATGTACTGCTATGGGAAATAATAATAATAATAATAATTAATTTTTTTCATAATTCAATTCAAGATTCATTTTTGTTTGGGATTGATTAATAAAAGTAGGACGCTTAAGGACGCTTTCGAGGAGCGAGCTCTGGGACTGGAGCTGACACTGGAGCGAGCTCTTGGGGCTAGAGCAGACACTGGAGCGAGCTCTGGGGCTGGAGCCGACACTGGAGCGGACTCCGGGGAAAGGATGAGGGTGGAGAACTGTCTTTTTCTCCTCGTCCTCCTTATTTGGTTAGGGGTGAATGGAGCGGCCGAAGGGCTTAGTCCCAGCTTTGTAAAGTTAAAGCTAGTATTGTGGATTGGCAGATATCTGTGTAAGGTCTCTCTGCCCTTCGCGTCTGATATCAGGGGAGTCGCGGCATCGGCTGTGTTCATTAGGTTATAAATTGCAGTGCTGCAAACAGCTGCCGTCTGCGACGAGGCCCAACTTTAGCCTAGTGACACAACTGTTCTCCGCGTGCACCTTCCCTCAGGTAAGCTTTAATTAAGTCAGGACTCCGCAGGTCTGTCACACCGCAGAGGGGAGAACACACAACACGGGGTAAAGCGTCTGACACTGATCAGTGCTAATGCAAAACAACAAAAAGTGTTTTTGAACTGAAGATGTTTTTTATTTACACTACAGGAGGTCTATTCATCCGTCTCTTCATATTAAAAACACTTTATACAGAGGAAGTGACTTCAGTATGTAAGTGCACAGAAGACTGTACTGTGTTAAACTAAAGAACCACAGTATAAGGTAAAGTGTGGAAATTCTGCGCCACCAGTGGCACGAAATGGAATTGCAACCTATTTTGTCTGAGTGGCCTGAATGGACAGGGGACATAATAATATTGTCTCAAGCAATGGCATGAGCTTGGGATTGGATTATCTGCTAAACAATGGAAAACAAGCATGTTTGAGTGTCTGAAACGTGATTGGAAATGGTCATTATTATATTAGTAGATATTTGTATGTCTTTGATTTTATTCATTCACATACTGTATGTCAGACTATTATTTTAATAATTTGATTAATGCCATGTATTTATTATGTTGCAATTCCTAATGAAGTTACTGGCCGAATATTTACTCAACAAAGTCGATTATTACTCACATTAGGCATTTGTTAAGTGTTCATTTTGTGGCACAGAAATAACACTCTTTACATTTAATAGACAGTTTTGCATTTCTTTAAATTTAGTAAATTTTCAAATAAAAAAAAACAACAACAAAAACTAAACCTCTAAAGAAAGAAAGCAAGAATGAATGAACTAAAGAAAACTAAACAAAGATAAAATAAAATAATAAATAAATAAAATATAACAACATTTAAAAGAATACATGAATAAATACACAAAAACCACAAATAAATAACAAACATCAAATGAAATAAAATAAAATAAGCCACTGTCATTTAAGACTTGGCTGCGATTTAGTAAAGTTAATTTTATTAAAGATTACAAATCTATCTCTAAAGCTATTATTTAAAATGTACTGCTTTGACAAATAATAATAATAATAATAATAATAATAATAAAGTAAATTGTATTGAAAATTACAAGCTCAATCTCGAAAGCTATGATTTAAAATGTAATATTTATATTTAATCTAATATTATATTTTATTTTATTTCAGTGGCTACTAACAGAAATAAAATAAGTTGAAGTATTAAAATTACTAAAACTAAAACTGAAATAAAATTAATTAAAGCTATATAGAAATAAGAACTGAAAATATAAAAATGTAAGTGAATTTAAAATATTAATAAACACTTCAATAGCACATAAACACTAAAACAACACTGGTTCTATGCATCTGAGTGATCGTTATTTTATTCTGAACACAACCCACACTCTCTAACTACAGTGGATCTAATGACCACAAATGAAGGATTTGGAATTCTAATGGAAGAAAGTAAGATTAGGACTCTTGGGCAATTCCTTATGCTGCAGATTTCGCATGAGCTGCAAAAGCTGTATGTGTCCTAAAGAAGGCAATAATCAAACAAGAACGACTGAAACAAACACCTCTGACCCGTGATTCTTCAGCTAGATATTTCTACTGAGCCTATTTTGCAGGATAAGGATGTTGCAACTGCACAAACGCGCGAGCATCACCCATTTTCACCACACTTCTGCTTCTGCGGTGTAAAAACAGCACCTTCAAAAGGAAGCACAACAAACCACGCTCTCCCATGAATTATGACTGAATTTGAGCACATGATCCTGTCAGAATCCAGAATCATGACAAACAGCCCTGTTTTCACATAGATTCGCCGATGTGCTAGTGGGATCCCAAGGTTAAATGGAGAGCAAGGCACACAAAAAACATGCAACAGTGCAACATAAAAGCCTGCAGACAATCACTCCCTGAGTAAATCCCATCACAAGTTCAGAAGACAAACCCCCGACGCTGAATTATTTGACCTATAAATGTATAAATGTAATGAATTTTAAATGAATGTAGTGGGTTTAAAAACAAGTTACGCTTTATTGGACAACACCTGTGGCGTGCTCTAAATGCAGTTTTTGTACTCACACAGTGTACATATGTGTGCATGGAGCTATAGTCTGCTGAGAGGCAGAATGCAGAACATCTGAAGGAGTCATCATCACGTAGAACTGACCTAAATGAGAGAGACGACAGATGTTGTATTGCTCCATACTAAATTCAAATCATATTTACTGCTGCTGCTGAAAATTCAGCATTGCATCACAGGAATAAATTACATGTTAAAAATATATATTCAAATAGAAAAGAGTTATTTTAAATTGTACTAATATTTCACAATTTTACTGTTTTTACTTCTGATCAAATAAATGCAGTATTAAACATAAGAGACTTTTTTCAAAAACTATTTATTATAAAAATCAATTAAAAAAAATACTAATTATTCTAAAAACTATAAAATTATTCTAAAATTATTCTGAAATTTTAATGTAAATTAATAGTGTAATGTGATGTAAATTTCCTACTGTAAATATATTAAAACTTAATTTTTGATTAGTAATATGCATTGCTAAGAACTTCATTTGGACAATTTTAAAGGTGATTTTCTCAATATTTAGATTTTTTTGCACCCTATCAACTACTTTGATAATCAATAAAAAATAAATAAATATTACTAACATCATCAAATGGACTAATAAGCATGAGCTGCATTTGAAGTCATTGTGAAATGCAGATAAACACACGCCTATGAAATTACAAACTGTCTAAGATTAAACTAATGAATGCATTGCTGATGCATTACTCAACCTCTCAATCTATTGAAGCATGTTCCATTTGATTCTATTAACCTCAAACTTATATATACCTGCTGTTTGTGTGAATGTATGGCCAGCTGCTGTCTGTATAGACACGGCCGTCTTCTCTCCAGTATCTTCTCCAGCAGGACCGTCTTCATTACTGAAAGAGTTTTGAATTACTGTCTGGGAGAAAACAGGCGCGAAACATTTTACAACATACGCTTAACATCTGGCTATTTAGTTATAGTTGAGTTTGTGTCATTTTAATTTTCTGCTCTGACATGTCATGTTCTGCTGTGCATTGAATGAGATTCACACTGAACATCACAACATAATGAAGAAGTATAAGCAAATGGGATGTGAAGAAAAAGTGGTGCTGATGCTGGGACCGAGCTGGTTGCCATGGTGACAAGTGTTGATTCCATACCTGTTGGGATCCAGTGAGGTTGGATGTGGAGACCACATTAACTTGCCCTTTGACTTCACCTCTACTCTTCAGTCACTGATCTGAGACTGGAACCACCTGATACGTCACCTGAGGAGGACAAAGACAGAGGCTTTCATTACTAGAGTTGGTTAAAATATTGATTTTTCAGATTAATTGTGATTTTCATGTGAACGACCCAATATGTGATCGTTGAACATTATGTATAGCACCATTTCCAGAACTTTTTTTTAGACACTAGCGATTAAAAGTTTGGAATAATTTAGAATTTTTTATGTTTTTGAAAGAAGTCTCTTCTGCTCACCAAGGCTGCATTTATTTGTTCAAAGATACAGTAAAAACAGTGATATTCTGAAATATTATTACAATTTAAAATAACTATTTTCTATGTGATTATAATTATAAAAAATTTAAAATGTAATTTATTCCTGTGATGAAAAGCTAAAATTTTCAGTATCATTACTCCAGTCTTCAGTGTCACATGATCCTTCAGAAATCATTATAATATGCTGATTTGCTGCTCAATTATTATCAGTTATAATTGGTGCTCAACTATTAATAGTGGTTCTTATTATAATCAATGTTGAAAACAGTTTTTGCTGCTTAATATTTTTGTGGAAACTTTAATGTTTTTTTTTCAGGATTCTTTGATGAATAGAGTTCAATGAACATAATTTATTTGAAATATTTTGTAACATAACATAAATGTTTCTACTGTCAATTTTGATCTATTTAATGTATCCTTGCTGAATAAAAGTATTAATTTCTTTCTTTAAAAAAAAAAAAAGTTACTCCAAAGTTTTGAAAGTTAGTGCAGCACATTTTCAATAAAAATATGAAATAAAAACATGATTTCAACATTGATAATAATCAGAAATGTTTCTTGAGCAGCAAATCAGTATATGAGAATGACTTCTGAAGGATCATGTGGCACTGAAGACTGGAGTAATGATGCTGAAAATTCAGCTTTGATCACAGAAATAAATTACATTTTACAATATATTCAAATAGAAAAAAAAAGAATCAGAAAGAGCTTTATCACCAAGTATGAGTATAAAGTGAAAAAGTGAAGTGACATGTGGCCAAGTATGGTGACCTATACTCGGAATTAGTGCTCTGGCACATATGGGTGTATGTATATATACAGTTGTGCACATAAGTTTACATACCCCTTGAAGAATATGTTAAATGTTCATAATTTTAACAAAATAAGAGGGATCATGAAAATTGCATGTTATTTTTTATTTAGTACTGTCTTGAATAAGCTATTTCACATAACAGATGTTTATATATACTCCACAAGACAAAATAATAACTCAATTAGTAAAAATGACCCCGTTCAAAAGTTTAAATCTTAATACTGTGTGTCATTTCCTGGATGATCCACAACTGTTTTTATGTTTTGTGTTAGTTGTTCATGAGTCCCTTGTTTGTCCTGAACAGTTCAACTGCCCGCTGTTCTTCTGAAAAATCCTCCAGCTCCTGCACATTCTTTGGTATGTGAAATAGCTTATTCAAAACAGTACTAAATAAAAAATAACATGCGATTTTCATGATCCCTCTTCTTTTGTGAAAATTATCGACATTTTGCATATTCATCAAGGGGTATGTAAACTTATGTGCACAACTGTATATATATATATATATATATATATATATATATATAATTTTGTGGTATGTGAAATAGCTTATTCAAAACAGTACTAAATAAAAAATAACATGCGATTTTCATGATCCCTCTTCTTTTGTGAAAATTATCGACATTTTGCATATTCATCAAGGGGTATGTAAACTTATGTGCACAACTGTATATATATATATATATTAAACGGAAATATACAAAATTTGTATGTACAGTTGTGGTATATAGATGGAATAGAATAGAATTTACAAGGAATGGAATAAGATATGGGATAGTATCAAGTAAACAAAAGTGGTATTGCACATCTTTTTATTGAACAGTACGGGAAAACATTTGTGACCCTGGACCACAAAACCAGTCATAAGGGTCAAGTTCTCGAAATTGAGATTTATACATAATCTGAAAGATGAATAAATAAGCTTTCCATTGATTTATGGTTTGTTAGGATAGGACAATATTTGGCCGAGATACAACTATTTGAAAATTAACAGTTCATGAGGTAGATTGCCTGAAACGTTTTTGTGCCTGGCAGTCCTGGTGTTCGGTGCTCTGTAGCACCAGCCAGACGGTAAGAGTTCAAAAAGGAGATGGCTCAGATGTGAGGGATCCAGAGTGATTTTCTCAGCCCTTTTCCTCACTCTGGATATATACAGTTTTTGAAGGGTGGGCAGGGGAGCACCAATAATCCTCTCAGCAGTCCGAACCGTTCTCTGTAGTCTTCTGATGTCTGATTTTGTAGCTGAACCAAACCAGACAGTTACTGAAGTGCATAGGACAGACTCAAGTAGAACTGTGTGAGCAGCTCCTCAGCTGGCGAAGGAAGTACAATCTCTGTTAGGTCTTTTTAACAATGTACTCAATATGATTGTCCCACTTCAGGTCCTGTGAGATCTGAATGACTCTACTGCAGCCACAGTGCTGTCCATGATGGTGAGTGGGGGGAGTGCAGGGGCGTTTCTCCTGAAGTCCACTGTCATCGCCACTGTTTTGAGCGTGTTCAGCTCCAGGTTGTTAAGACTGCACCAGACAGCCAGCTGCTCAACCTCGCTTCTATATGCAGACTCATCACCGTCCTGGATGAGGCCGATGACAGTCGTCTGCGAACGTCAGGAGCTTGACAGAGGGGTCAGTAGATGTGCAGTCGTTGGTGTACAGCGAGAAGAGCAGTGGGGGGAGAACGCAGCCCTGAGGGGCGCCAGTGCTGATGTTTGGCATGAATTTCCCCAGTCTCACTAGCTGTTGCCTATCTGTCAGAATGCTGGTGATCCACTGACAGATAGAGCTAGGGACCGAGAGCTGGGCTAGTTTGGTCTGGAGGAGTGTTGGGATGATGGTGTTGAAAGCTGAACTGAAGTCCACAAACATGATCCTCACATAAGTCCCTGGTATGACCAGATGTTGTAGGATATAATGCAGTCCCATGTTGACTGCATCATCCACAGACTGTAGGGGGTCCAGCGAGGGTCCAGTGATGTCCTTCAGGTGGGCCAACAACAGTCTCTAAAACAACTTCATGACCACAGATGTTAAAGCCGCAGGTCTGTAGTCATTGAGTCCTGTGATTTTGGGTTTCTTTGGGATGGGGATGATGGTTTAGCGTTTGAAGTAGGAAGAGACTTCGCACAGCTCCAGTGAACTGCTGAAGATGGAGGCCAGCAGGTCAGCACAGGCTTTCAGACAGGCTGGTGTAACACCATCTGGGCCTGGTGCTTTCTCTTCTCTTTCCAGAAGACCTGACACACATCTTTTTCAAAGACCTGAAGTGCAGGAGGGGGGTTGCTGGAGGTGTTGATGGCTGTGTAGACAGATGGTCAGAGCGGGTGTGGGGTGTGAGACCTGGAGTTTCAAACCTGCAGAAAAACTCATTCAAGTCTTCAGCAAGTTGTTGATTCTCCTTAGTGCAGGGGGATGGAGTCTTGTAGTTTGTGATGTCTTTCAGTCCTTTCCACACTGAAGCAGGGTCGTTTGCTGAAAACTGGTTTTCCAGCTTTTTAGAGTAGCTCCTCTTATCCACTCTGATCTCCTTTGTCAGTGTGTTCCTGGCCTTATTGTACAAGTTTCTGTCTCCATTCCTGTAGGCATCCTCTTTGGCCTGACGAAGATGTCTGAGTTTCCTAGTTATTTTAAATTGTAATAATATTTCACAACATAAAAAAAATCAGAACTATTCCAAAACTTTGACTAGTGATGTACTACTTTCCAGATCTTTATAGGTTTTCCCATGACTTTTCTTAAACTGTAAAGGTTTAATAATACAACAGAATATCAATCACATTCAGCCCGAACATCCAAACAGCATGTGGTCATGACACTTTAGCTGAAATTTGTGAATAATGTGATGCGATTAAGGTATCGCAAGACCCCTACAGGAAAGTAATCATAAAAACAAGAGCTTCTGCTATTTTTTGCAGCCACAGAGCCTGATGTGTAGAGAAAACAGCCATAATTCCCTATAAAGTGTTCATGGGAAATTTCTAGCGTCTCCTGACTGAATTCTCCATTCATCCATCATTCCTGCGGTGCATGATCTAATTTAAAGGTCTAGAATGACACAGTTGTTCACTGACAGAATACGTATTTGTAAATGCCCCTGAACAGCACCCCCGCTCCAATCATCTGCCATGTGACGCGCCGCCTGACTGACATGTGACACAGGCCCAGTGCCAATCCCAGCCAAAGATTAGAATCACATGACTGCTAATGGGTGAAACTCAAGAAAACATTTCCCAGTCATATCTCACCGCCCAAAATAAAATAGATATGCATAAAGAAATAAATCCTACGTTTAAGAGCATTATTATTGTTTATTTATTTATTTTTATTTATTTAGATATTTTTTCATTTTATATAGAGGGGATTTTGTGGTAAGAGTAGACAGTTTCTTGACCGAAATGAGAAATAAACTGTCAGACAAACAGAGATTCAAAGTCTTTGACAAAGACATTGGTTCAATCTTTCTTTCAAAAAGCTTGACTCTAATAAAGGATTTGTCTTTGATGACACTAAAAGGAAACTCATCTCTCCACCAGTATTTTTTGTGTGAAACTGATAGTGAATGCTGCCATCCACATAAGCTAAAGGATGAGGAACACTGGCTGCTGCGCCTGCATCAAGAAAATGATTCAGCGGATGGGTAGTTTCCATATGTGTTCATTTAAAAAAAAATCAAAAATTAAGGTTATATTATTCATGAGTAATAGTCCAAAGGTCTCTCAATTAATATGATGTATAATGTACAGCATATAGCATGCCATGCATAATAAAGAATTAGCAAAAACAAACAAAGAAAAGTTTAAAATAAGTTACATTTCATGTCACCTACACTATAAAGCAAATATCTTGGGAATAAAGTAAAATATCAGGAAAAGAGAAAACTGTAACAAATAAAGCGTGCATCATGGAGAAAAAAAAAGCATGTGTGATGAATACGACTTAATGACAGACATACCTTCAGCTATTTGTACAACTTCTTTTCTCTATATTTGTGACTGCAGATAAACTTCTTGTTCCTGTGACACATAAAAGCACAATATAATTATTGAATTACATTCAAAACTTTTTTTTTAAAAATCACTTTGTTTAACTTCACAGCAGATGTTGGTCTCTAAAATATACCAAATGTTTTAGAGGACCAGTAAAAGTTTGGTATGCATTCCCAATTGCAGAAGATACACAATGTATCCACAATCAAATTGCATTATTAATATTAAATTGAATAAATCTGTGCCTTCACAAACTTACAGTGCATGAAATTTCCTGCATGCATGACACACTTCCCTTGACTTTCTGCAGTAATGTGCATCGCACGAGCCCTGAGCTGCTGGAAGTGTAATGCATTACCTGACTGAAGTGTGTGAGTTGAACTCCAGCAGATCCATCAGTGCTCTGGCTTGCTCAAGGCTGATCACGGGAACAAACACTCCAGTCATGTGACACATCTTCTTCATGTGGTTTAATGGTAAACCAGCTCATGCTGCATTACTGCCACCAGCTGAACTGGAGTATGGAAATATAAACATTGTATTTAACCCTTTATGGTACGGAGTTGCCATATGGCAAGAATTAATTTCTACTAATTTCCTTGTTATTCTGAAAAAAATACAATATATTGCACTATGGTAATTAAAATGGCAGGCCTTAAGGTAGACTATGAAGTGCTGTTTTTAAGTCACATGACATTTGAATGTCTGTCCAAAACTCTTTTTCCCACTGTCACCCTCACAGAAGACACCTGTTAAAGTGCTCCAAAATTGCTCTATTAACCTCTTTTCTAAACATCTCTTCTCAATGGGGATTTTTTTTGCAGCATCTTTGTTAAGTAAATTAGATATTTTTATTCACAATTTCACTTTGTCTAACATAGTTTTACAGTAAATTGAGAAAATATCAATGTTTCCGTATGGCCATGCTGTACCACAGTGATGTATTTCCCCATTGGGATTTTTTTATTGATAGTAGCATCAATGATACGATTGCAGTTATTTATTTATTTGAAGTGTTTACTTGTATTTATGTATAAAATACAAAATTATTTCTTCTTTTCAGAAACTGAATACAGCAATATTTTGCGAGAGTGAAGATGAGTTATAACATAATGCATACCATATTATCAAAAATAATACATATTATTATATTATATATTATATATTATTACATATTAATAAATATTATATAAATATTGTATTCTGGAAAAGAAAAATAATTCTTTAAATCGCTTTGGAATTAACATTTGTGCTTTATTTTATCTTGCTATCTATCCATCTATCTATGAAATCACACTTTTTAGGGCTAAAGAAAAATAATCTTCTGATAATATGATATTTCAAAGGATTTATCTTACAGTAAATACAATACGCAGATGCACATTTTTGCCACAAAATTTGGAGCAACTTTAAGAAATCGACACTGTGTAAAATGTTTTATTACACAAGATTTCTAACTCCTTATTTTACATAGAAAATAACTTAAGTCATCTGGGTACTTTTGACTGGAGTTTTTTATTGTGACCAGCAGATGTCCTTAATCTGCTGTTCCGAGCGCTTCAGTGAATCATTTTGCGATTATATTTGGTTAAGTCCCAGCAACGTGATTTCTCTCATCACTTGTTGTAATAATTTCATTTATTGTAGTGAGGTCTAGATCTGCTGTCGGCCCCGCGTTTAGTAACAACAGTCCCACGACCTTTAACCTACTTATAAAGGAACGATCCGTTTCAGTCGCAGCGCTGGAGTGCAGGAACACTCGGAGTACCTGATTGGCCACTGCTCAGCTTTTGATTGACAGCTCTCTGATCTGAGCAATTCTATTGGCTCACAGAATGGGCGTGCTTTAAAGCCCGCCTCAAATGGTGTCACACAAAAGCCGCACCGGCTGGATCCTCCTGCTGAAGTTCACTCTGTCGGACAGAGGAGGAAGAGTCACGATGAGCGCCCGAGTTCTGGTCGGAGTTAAACGGGTCATTGACTATGCTGTCAAGGTATACAACAGACAATCTTTCAGGAAACACACACAAATGCTTTTAATTATGAATAAACTCGGAGTTGCCCTATTTTCGATGGTAAAGAGCTGACATTAGGCCAGCTGTTCTGTTGAATGAGGTTCGACATGAGAACTGGGTTGTTTGTTTGGTGAAGGTCAGTGTTGTTGTTATTGGCGTTTTAATTCATATCTGATGAATTCAAGCAAAACTCCTTACAATTATGGCCGTGCCTTATTAATAATGAGCTGTATTCTGCTTCACCTGTTCATCTGTAACTACAAACATGCATATGAATACAGCTGAAAATATCATATTAAAATATTGTCATTGCAGGAATTCCTAAAGTAGGGTGTTATTGATTGTTTTCACATCTAGTTAGCTTTTTATATTAAAGTTTACATTATTAATATTCCATGGCAACACCTTATGGGTCAACATTAATGGACATTTTTCATTTTCCAGTCTGTTGTTTATAAATGTAATTGCATATAGGCAATTATATATATATATATATATGTGTGTGTGTGTGTGTTCATATATTATTTAGTATGTGTGAAATAGCTTTTTGTCATTTATTAGACATATTAAAGTGATGGGAAGCACCATTTAACAAATTGTCATGTTTGAGATGGGTTGATTTTTAAAATCATTTAATAAAAATAAAAAAAAATAATAAAAAATTGGTAACACTTTACAATAAGGTTCCATTAGTTAATGTATTAACTAACATGAACAAACGATGAACAATACATTTATTACAGTATTTATTAAACATTGTTAATGTTAGTTGATAAAAATACAGTTGTTCATTGCTAGTTCATGTTAATACACTGTGCATTAACTAATGTTGATTTTAATAATGCATTAGTAAATGTTGAAATTTATATTAACTTAGATTAATAAATGCTGTAGAAGTAGTGTTCATTCTTAGTTCATGCTAACTAAAGTAGTTAACTAATGAAGCCTTATTGTAAAGTGTTACTAAAAAATTAAATGTGTGTATTATATATATATATATATAGATAGATTGATGTGCATATTACGTATATATTTTGATTAATGTAGTATGCAGATTGTGAACATTATTTCACATTATTTTATAAAACTGCCTTTTATGTGAAGTCAAAATCTTATATGACAAAAATAATTGCAAATACTAATTAAATGAACATATGTACTATTCTAAGTTGCAGTTAAAAGTGTTTTAAAGCATTGTATGATGAACATGCGATCTAAATGCTCATTTGCTGGTTTGGTCTTTAATCTTTGGTCTTGTGCTCTTCTGTTTTGGCCATTACCAAGTAATCCGATAACAAATGAGTTACTACGTTGTAATTTATTAATCGTTAGGTCATATTGATCAGTCTGATTGTCAATAATACAGTGTCAAATATCCCAAATCTGTGTCATTATGATCTTTTCAAAGCAGTTTATTCCAATGATCTGGGTATGTTTATTGTGTATATGAGCTGTGTTTTTGTGAAACCTCTGATCTGGTTCAAAGTAACCCTTATATAGGGATATTGATCCGGGAATGTGTGGCCTCAGTAGTACTGCTAATATCAGCTGTTGGGTTACAGACAGATCAGTCTGGGTTATGAAATGATTTCCTCCGTGCCACCCTTGGCATAGTACATGCACAGGTCATCTGAGGTTAAACATGTCGCCTCTTACTTAAATACGAGAGGCTGTGAATGTTTTGGGCAGCCTTGTGAAAGTCACTGTCCAGTCCTAACTGACCGTACAATACATGTACAGCTGAAAACATTTATTAAAGTAAAAGTTCAGTTACGAATGAAAAGTCATATGATGGCAGTGTGTACGTTCTTTAAGTTTCAGCACCGTTTCTGTGTCTCTGTCCACCTCAGATCCGAGTCAAGCCTGACCGCACTGGAGTGGTTACAGACGGCGTCAAGCATTCGATGAACCCCTTCTGTGAGATTGCGGTGGAGGAGGCCATCAAACTCAAGGAGAAGAAGCTTGTTAAGGAGGTTGTGGCTGTCAGCTGTGGTCCTCAGCAGGTTCAGGTCAGAAATACTCAAGCTTGCTGATGTTTCTCCTTGGTGATAGACACTAAATGTAACTTTTATTGGTGAGGGACACTGTCTAAAGTTATTGTCCGTGATGGAAAAGTTGCCAAAACTGAGGGAAATTATTAGTTATAAAAAAATTCACAGTGACTGTCTAGGAAATATCCCATTCATATATTTATACGAAAAATTCAAAATCTTTAATTAATAATAAAAAATAATTTAAAAACAACTAGATACTTCATTACTTAGATATGTAAATGCTGTTCTTCTATTCATCAAAGAATCCTGAAAAAAATGTATTACGGTTTCCGCAAAAATAAAAACATTTAAAATAATAAATGTTTCTTGAGCAGCAAATCAGCATATTAGAATGATTTCTGAAGATCATGTGACACTGTAGACTGGAGTAATGATGCTGAAAATTCAGCTTTGATCACAGAAATAAATTACATTTCACAATATATTCAAATAGAAAATAATTATTTTAAATTGTAATAATATTTTACAATATTACAGTTTTACCATATTTTTGATCAAATAAATGCAGCCTTGGTGAGACTTCTCTCAAAAATATTTTAAAAATGTACTGACCCCAAACTTTTGAAATAAATTACATATATTTATGAATATAAATAATTTTCTAAAACAGGACATCTCCAACTTGACTATTGTGATGTCATGTAAAAACAGCTAAAATTGCAGCTTTTTCAACAGTTTCATGTCTTTATGTTCATTTACCGTGTGAGGAAATATTATTAAATCATTAATCAGCATCCTTAACAGTAATATCTGTGTTGTAGGAGACGATTCGGACGGCTCTGGCCATGGGTGCGGACCGTGGCATACACGTGGAAGTGTCCGGAAAGGACTACGAGACGCTTGGTCCCCTGCAGGTCTCCAAGATTTTCGCTGCTCTCGCTAAGAAAGAGCAAGCCGATCTGATCATTTTGGGTAAACAGGTAGCTGACGGTTAATTATTGCACCTTAACAATTACTGCATTAACAAATTACTGAATATAAATCAATGGCTTTCATGATATCTTGGTAATATTTCTCATCTAGGCCATAGATGATGACTGCAATCAAACTGGACAGATGACAGCAGCGTTGTTGGACTGGCCGCAGGTGAGACATCTTGTTCCATCTGTATATTTAGTGATGTTTGATAAGAAAAGCATCACTATTAATATGGATTTGAGCACCTTAGCATTTTCTTCAGAAGATGTTTTCGCTGCCTGTTATGCCACTTTTTTTCTGGACTGAGTTGGGGATAGTGACTCCCAAATAAAACTATTAATGGATTATCATTCTATCATTTTTTTAGGGAACCTTTGCATCTGAGATGACCTTAGAAGCAGACAAGCTGAAGGTGGTGAGAGAAGTTGATGGTGGATTGGAGACCATTAAG